TTGCTGAATTTTTGATTTCCTCTTTATCCGTGTCCATCCCCATCACTTCCACCCACCTCCACCTTTTGATACAAATATTCTCTGACATCAGTAATATCTTTACATTTTTCTTTAAACCTCTGTTTATCCCGACAGACTAGCCCTCCCTCTCTGTCTCCGTCTCTTCCTCTGTCTCTCTCTCTGACCCCTGTCACAGTCATTAAAGTTCTGATGAGAAGCTACCTAACACTGCATTGTCTGATCAGGTGTTGTCGAGTAAGCGAGTTTGCGGGCCTCGATCCCTTGGGGTCAGCTTAATGCTATCCTCTGCTGGATCTCTCCTTGTAACCTGGTCTGCCGCTCGCCAGCCATACATTTGTGCTCCAACTGTCAACTGGGCCAACATACTACAACTCACCTCCATGCCAAACAGCCCCCCACAATGCTACAGGATGTCTATGTCTGCACTATATCTGAATGCATTCGTTTTCGAATGAATCAGCTAACAGTGTTACTATTTTTAACGCATATTTGTATTTCTGAGGTCTGCTTATAATTTCCATGCACACATGTTTGTGCTAAGATTGCTAATTTGAGCTAACTTAGAGAAGGGTACTAAAGGTGATACTCAGGGGCGAGCAGCTCGATATCCCTCCCTTTTCAAGTCCGATTCCACCTTGAAGAAGCTAAGAGGGTGATTATTGATTAACCAGTATACATTAATGAGCTGAATTGATCTGAAAAGAGGGCAACAGTGCAGATCACTGACAGAGAGAGTTTTTCATTGGCCAGGTCAGCCCCTAGTGAGGGTTACTTGTGTGGGGACAGAACAGGACACTATAGAAAAGGATGATGAACAGGAACAAATCTGATTATGTGGTTTGTCATGGATCTCATCCAGTGTAAGCTTTGTGCCAACAACTTGTATAAGCAGCAGGGTTTATGTCCATCCTATCATTTCAGTAGCCAGTTGTTTTATAGTGATTGTAAATATAGCCTGTGTGCTGGTGTGATTCTAATATGACAGCTGAGAAAAACTCTCCCTTAAAAATAACACAACTGGTAGAGAATCTACAGAATCCTGGGATTGCTGTGCTTTTTGGAGAACATATAAATGTATTTCCTTGTAACTAGGTATTAACTTGTTAAAATGACAAATGTGTATAATATGCGCTTGTGTTGCAAACAATCTCTAAGCTTTTTTCAAACTCAGAGATTTTTACCTGGCATACGGTATTGATCTGTCGACAATGCTTATGAAGCATCGTTTTTGGAATTTTGGACGTCGCCATATGTTTTTTTTTTACTTTCCTGTCTTGGTTTTTCCTGTCGCAATCAGGGTTTTTTGGAACTAGAAGAGACACGAGAGAGTTCAGCGTAGCAAATTGCTGAATAAGACTTATAGGCAATCAAAGTCTTACAACTAACTTTTTGGATCTGAAAACACAACGCGAAAGGGTAAATATTCTAAAACTAAAACACTGACAGCAACGGGACCCGACCACACCATGGTAGTGACTTGTCAGTCACATAGTAGCCACACCCTAAAGCATAACCTACTTTATCATCTATTTTACTCTAAATGGGACCGTTATTTATAAGATGAACATTGTTGTATTGAAGAATACCTAAAACTTGCAATTGAGACCATAAACGCATTAAGAACATGTTTACTGAGGTAATAATAAGGTGAGTTGGGGCATTTTTTCATAGACCTCTATACAGTCAGACTTCTCTTCGTCCTGCTGGCCATAGAAGGAATGCAGGTTTAAGGCACTTCCTCATTGACCTCTGTCATTGACCACTGTAAAGACATTCATGGTCAATGGTGATTTTTAGATAATAATTTCCTGGAAACTTCATAGAATATCAATGGTAAATATTTAGAGACTAGAGCTTTTTCATTTTATGGTTTCTACAAGTTAATAATAGTTTAGAATTTACAGTTTTCACTATAATATTCTATATAATATTTTAAAAATTGACGTCAATAACTAGGGATGTCCCGATCCGATCACGTGATCGGGGATCGGAGCCGATCACGTGATTTTCACGTGATTGGGGATCGGGAGAAAAAAATCGGGGATCGGAATTTTTTTTTTTTTTTTTTATAAAATATTTTTATACATTTTATTTAATGTTACAAAACAAAAATGACCATGTTCACGTCTTAAAGTCATCCTGAGGCCTTAGTTTTGGGTTAAAATTACACAACATCATGTATGTGTTGCTTCTTTTGGGCTTGTTTTCATAGACCTGGTTGCTTATTTCTCTCAAATCTGGCAACAGAGTGGGCGCAGTGTCTAATAGTAGCAGTAAGCTAACAAGAGGCTACGTTCAGCTGGTGACTCGGGAGTCGGGACAGAGAAAATGTCAGGAGTTTGGAAGTATTATAAAATTGAAAGCGAAGGCAGTGTAACAGCCAGATGCAATGTTTGCAAGGTGGAGGTTCCGCGTGGTGAAAAGAACAGAGCTACGTTCAACATGACCAATCTAATACAAACACCACCAACAACAACACGACGAGTACACAGCGGCCACTCAGGTAACGGCACTGAAACAACCAACACTTTCAGAGACTTTTAAAAGGAAAGAGAAACTACCCCAGAACAGTGAAAAGGCCAAAAAAAGAACAGCCAAGATAGCTGAATTCATCGCGTTGGATGACCAGCCGTTATCTGTTACCTTTTTTTTCCTCTTAATGCATTGCATAAAGATCGGATCGGGAAAAATCGGTATCGGCAGATTGTCAAAATCAAATGATCGGAATCGGATCGGGAGCAAAAAAAGGTGATCGGGACATCCCTATCAATAACCATGGTCTACTACTATTATATAAACAACTTACAGCCATTTTCATAATAAAAAAAGGGATTTTCAAGGCAACATGAAACAGTTGGTCTCAATATCCTTTCTGTAAGAAATAAAGCAATTTTATTAGATTTAGTTATTGTTTGGTCACATTTGCAAAGTCTGAAATGTGGGTTGTGTTGCCATGAAATGAGTTGGTGTCAGAAGGATGCTAATTTCCTTCAATGAAAGAATTAAATAAATCCATTTAGCCTATTTGTTGATTTGGATAAATAACACAAATGGCACTTAAGCAAAACTTTCATAACAGATATCAGGGGAAGGTTCCTGCTTTTCTCACATAAAATACAGAACAATCTTCTGTACATCTGGTACCTCTACAGCTCTTTTTTGTTGTATTACAATGTTGTTTGAAGCATACAGTAGAAGACATATGTGAACACAGTGGTGCAGAATGAAATGAAAGTCATCATCAAGCACAAAGCTCTGCTCATTCCTCATCATTCTCACGTTCAATCTGCTTAGATGCAGTCTTTAGCTCCGGGGGTTGAAAACACTGTTTCTTCCCCAATCAGCCATAAAAGTGTGCCACACACTATGGATGAAGGATTTTTGTTCAGTGACATTTCTGTAATATGCATAATTTAGCTTAAACATACTACACTTACTCATTGTGCATGAATAAGGCAAAACATTTTTCTCAGCCATGAATTCAATAATTCAGCATTCTATCAGTCACACCAAAGGAGTGAAGAAAACTGCTCAAATAAATCAATAAATTACATTATTTTTTCTCGTTATCAGTTATGAAAAGTATTACAAAGAGGTTTGGATTTTAAGAAATCAAACAAAATAGTTGACTATTTTTATTTTGTAATCCTTTTTGAATAGTATAATAGAACAACAAAGCAACACAAGTACCTGCAAGCACAACATCAGAGAGATTTTACACTCTCAATTGTTTTAATTTGAGTCATGGCACATTTTCCATTGACAAGATAGTAGGCAATGTTGGCAACACATCACATAATTAATCATTCAAACCTTCCAAAGAAAAACAGCAAATACAAAGTTATCCAGCACAGGAACATTTTTGTACACATTGTTTCTGTGTCAAAACTGTAGGATAAGTGACCATGTAAGTCCAGTTTACTAGAAATAGCTTTCTTTGTAATGTTTGGTATACAAATTAAGTGTTTTGTGAGTATTTTAAGCACAAATTATGGCCAGAACAATGACCAATCAAACAAGTTGGTGATTCATCTAAAGTTTCTAAACAATCAAATTCAACCTTTGGAATTTACAACCCACATTTTGTGAGTGCAGATGTCTGTCATATACTGCATAAATTCAATACACAAATTCCAAACAAACATATTAACCTCAACCTAACTACTCAGTTGTGTCCATGCACATCCGTTTATATTTCTATTAGATCCCATTCATGATTACACTATTTGTTGTGCAAATGTTTGTAATCATGAGTAGCCCATGTGGTAATTTGTAACTGAAATATGAACCTTTACATCCCCAATGTGCAGATGTGCATAAAACAAGGAGTAGTGCATAGACTGCATTCAACTGTTGTGATGTTTTTTTTAGCTAACATCACAGTTTATTGTTCCCTTGGGCCGGGATGTTTTGGAATGCTAATGCAGCGTTGGGTGAATGGAAAATAATTTCAGCTGAGTTTTGCATTTATTTACAACAGTGTATCACACAGGTGAAGCAACAATAGGACTGGCCTGTTAACCGGTGCTGCTGTGAAACCATCAGGATTTATGAGCTATGACTGCAACATAAATGAAGTAAATTACTTTAAAGGTGAATCCAGGGTGAACTGATTGTTTGTGCTTTTATAAAACTAGCTGTCATGCTGGTTGATTCCTTGAGGAAAGGTTTTTTGATACAGTTTTTATCTGCTTAATAATATATGTAAGAAAGCTCTCTGGCAGGTTTTTGAGCCTAACAAACCTGCCGGACTCTTTCAAGTAAAAATACGTAGCATTTAAAACCTGACATTATGACAATGATTTGAGCTTTACAATAAACAGATGGGGTATTTCCTTTTTTTATGAAATTGTAAAAATGTAATGCTCATTTGCTCCATTTTCCTTAAAATAAAAAAAATGTAAGCTTTAGTTTCTAGCCAAATATGCCAACACGTGAGAAAAGCAGAGAAAAATGTAAACTGTAGCGTTCACACTCACCTGGTCTTTTCTCGTTTCGACTCTTTCGACCCCCACATAGTCGTACTTTGGATATCAAGACCAGGATCTGCTTCTGGCACAGGGACTTGTTGCTCTTAGGACAGGGCTTCCGCTTGTTGACTACCGGTCGGGTGGTTGGGTCCTCCTTGACAGCCCGTTTCTGTCTAATGAGAGAGCTGGCGAGAGCTGCCATCTTCCCCCCCTCTCACCTTTGGGAGGGGGGTTTGTTTTCCTTCCCAGTACCTCCTTCTTGCTCGTTCGGCTTTTGCTTTCCTCAAAAAAAACTAGAGTAGGACAGACGGTTTAGAGAAGCCCCCACAGGGGAGATCGGCCGTCTAAGTGGGTTAACAGGCAAGAGTTTAGTTTAAGGGTTCCCTTGGAGAGGGAAGAACTGGAAGATGTGTAAGTTCACCTGCAGTCTGATGTTAAGTCAACCCAAAAATATCACACTATCCGAGCACACAAAAAAGTGGCACAGTCACATTTTCAGTTTAAAAAATAACTGAAAATCCAACGTTAGAATTTAAAAAAGGGGAAGACGGAGACATATTGCTACCCCTCTTCCCCACTCATCTTCCCATTAAAATGGCCAAGTTAAAAAAAAATGTATATAGCAAAAAAAACTACTTTGACTTGACAACACCACAGAGAAGGAGCCTAAGTAGTTTTACATATAAAAACACTTTTACTGAAGAAAAGTGAGAACATTTTGGATGCTAAGAAGCTCTTAAAAGTGCGAGAAAAATCAAACTGTTTGTCACCGTATGTGCAGTCCACGGAGGTCCAACTTTGCCTCATATTTAAATGTGGCGGCGTGGAATAACGAGGCGAGAGTCGGAGCGGTAATCCAGCCGACTTAAATCCAGAGGTATAACAGCAGGCGGGACGTTGATGGTCTTGGTGGGAATGTTGCCTGGAAGGCAGCGGAGACATGGACACAGACAGACAAGAGATTCCTCATCTGTCTCCGATGGCACGCTCCTTTCCCACAGTCCTCACCGAACCCCCCTCCCTCCTCCTCCTCCTCCCCCTCCCCCTCCCCCTCCTCCGCCTCCCATCCAAAGTCAGCGAGTGGTTGTGAGAGTATGTGTGCGTGAATTCCAGCAGCCACCATCAGTAGAGGTGACATTCATGAGAGAGAGAGAGAGAGAGAGAGAGAGAGAGAGTGAGCAAAAGAGAGCCAGGGAGGGGAGGAAGGAGAGAGAGGGTGGGAGGGAGGAAGGGGCTGTGATGTGTGAGAATGAGCTTGACTGGGCGAGGGAATGGGTGAGAGACACCGCTCGCAGATGCTACAATTTTTATTTTTCCACCAAGAAAAAAAAAAAAAAAAAAAAAAAACCTCAATCATTTTGACTGCCCCACTGAAAGAGACAGTGCCAGGGGGGGGGACAGGGAGGAAAAAGGGGGGGAATGCATATTGTGACAGTTCTCTGTGTCTTCGAGAGGAACAGCATCACCATGTCACATGTACACTCACACACATCAGCATATTTTGTAGTAGAGTCTTCCCTGCTGTATAATTCTCTCACTATCTATTCTTCTTCATCCCCCCACCCCCCGTACAGTGTCGGTGATTTGTTTCGTTAAGCTCTACATATGAAATGGGAGAAACAAATACAAAAAAGTGACTTGGTTCACTGAAACTGGCATTTAGTGTCTGACATATCTGACTGCTGGCTTACGCTAACCCTGACAGAAACATGAGCTCGGACAGATCGAGTTAGACAGCTAACCCTGACACACACACACACACACACACACACACACACACACACACACACACACACCACACACACACACACACACACACACACACACACACACACACACACACACACACACACACCCTGCTAAACATCCATACAAAAACAACAAACAAACGTTTATCGTGAATTTAGTTCACGGAGCATTTGTTCTACTTTCACTTGGATACAAATACCAAATGCTGACTTGAAAGATTTCTCTAATATTTTTGGCCAAAGAACAACTTCAACAAGTCACAGTACAGAGCAAAAACTATGCTGACATACTTTTGCGGGAAATAGCAGCTTCTATTAAATGATAATACTAATAAGTAGTTTGTAGGTTCGTAATTCCCATTTTCCTTCTGCAAGACAACCCAATTTCAGATTTGTATTTGGTGTAATTGAACACTAAGCAACTGTATTCCAACATTTACATAGACTTCTATAAAAATCAACCTTCAATGTCAAAGTATATGAACTGATGCCTATATGAGCCGTGATGTGAGAACAAAAAAAATTACGTGAGCACTGTAAGGAATTACCAAGCAAATGCATTCAAACATTTACATATATTTCTATAAAAGGACATTCTCAGAGGATGTTCAGTGCTAATTGCATTATTTTGTATGTTATGGGAATGTAAGTGGTTTGATAGTGTATGCATTGATAGATTTCTGCAGGAAATAAATCAACCTTCAATGTCAAAATCCAAGCTTATTCACTGTCAAAAAAATCTCACGATTGTGACTATCTGTAGTACAACTGAATATACAAACACTGTAAATATCTCGGGTCCCACCCCTCAGACTCGAACCCAATAAATCAACTTATCTGAGAGCTAATCAATCCCATTTTATTTGTCATGGCGCCTCTCTTAAAAGCTAATTGCCAGGGAAACCAGCAGCGGAAGCAACCTGAAAATGCAAGGTCAATTGAAATCGTTCCCAACAATGCCGAGCAAGGTCACCATCTGTCAGGAGCTTGATTGACAGGTGACAGCGGAGGTTTGGTCCCCACGGAGAGACGAGGGCACGGCGGGGGCGGAGGAGAAGGAACCACAGATGAGATAACGGATTTTGTATTGACAAGGAAACTGCATTTTTTTTCTCCTTTCCTGAAGATTCGTCCCCCCCCACCCTGCATTATTTCAACCATCCTCCGCCACGCACGCACTCAACTTCTTTCTCTGAAGAATCAATCTCCTAATGGACGTCATATTACAAATATTGCCAAAGGTTGTTGTCCTTTTGCTTTTTTCCAATCACAAAGACATGCCAAGTTACACCAAAAGAAAACTAAGTGGGGGATTTTCGGGACATTACACAATCTCAAGGTCAACAAGTGCTTTCATCATTTTTATGACGTTTCTTGACAAAATCTAAGTGGACTTATTAAGAGGGAAACCACTTTTCCTATCTTCCCAAGAGCTATCACCTGTATGAACACACCCCAACCAACAACTAAACACCCATTATGTCAGGACTCTTTGTTGCTGCCATTAGTTATTTCCAATTTATTACCATATAAATGATAGCCTTTTCGTCTTGCTCATATATCATGTGCACACAGTAAGCACACTGTTTAACAAGGTTCTTAAACACTCACATCTAATCCAGGATTTACTGTGTGGGTTTTCTCAGCCCTGTTGTGTTATTATAGAAACCTCTTTGGCAAAGTGTAGAAAAAACAATCTGCATGGATCAAATGGAAAGTAACACATTTTAAATAGCAAATCAGCATTCTGTCACGTGTCCATGTATGAATAATGGCCATCTGAATGATGCACAAAAGAGGATTAAATGCAGATGTTTTGCTAAAAACAATCCATGCCACAATCCCTGCATGCATATGAATTCACATGGAAGCCGAGGGTATTAACAGAATATCCGCTCTGAAAGCGCTTTATGATGAAATGTATTTTCCTTGTATAAGGGTTCCCTCGTGTTCGTGCATTCTGTGTTACCTAACAAAGAATTATTTAATCTTTATTAGATGAGATGAAAAGATACGTTAAGTGGCAGATAGTGTGTTTCCATCCAAGTGGTGTTAAGTAACAAAGTACATTTTTATCAAGTACTGTACCTAGTAACATGAGTTTGTCCCATAGACTGTAGTTTAGGAGTGGACATGATCACTGTGACATTGAACTCATCGGCTTGTGGACTACAGTTTTGAAGCACTGAGTTTTTGCTTTTTGGCCGTTGCTATCTTTTTTTTTGGAACCAAGAGTGACAAGAAAGTGTAGAGCTGTATAAAACAGAGGCTGACAAATTACTTCCAACTTTCATGAACTGAAAACTCATTGTAAAGAGGTTAAAGTTTCAAGACAAAATATGAGAACACTAAAATACCTGTCAATCCCAACAGAGCCAGCCTGTAAAGCAGGGGTGGGGAACCTTTGTCCTCTCAAGGGCCATTTCAATTTTTCAACATCCTCCGAGGGCCGTACAAATTATTGACCTCTGCTTAAAAATACTAAAATCACAGCCCATTCATTTGGCCTTTCTTTCATGCTGTGCAAAGAAAAAGCAACCTCTTAATCCAGATATCTTACCATGACTCGCGCATGCATTCACGTGCACGGTTGTGGCATGACCACCAAAACAGAAAGATATGGACACAAGATGTGTGCAAATGTATTTAGTTTCTTATTCATGTGGACATGATTTAAGTGGGGGGAGATCTCTTCCCGGGAAGATTTTTTTTTAAATGTTGAAGTTAAAAGCATCAATCAGGTGCACTTTGAGAGCAACATTAAGAGATCTATGGATACAGATCTCAACACCCATATGAAACAGAACTGTAAACAGATTTTCTTTTTGGATATTTTACAAATCACTCTCCTTTTAAACTGTATGGGTACTGCAATTTGTGAAGTCCTGGCCCGGAGCGGCGTTCTGGTGCTCTCCTGCAGAACTGCACCCCTGTCAGACGGCACATATACCACGTGATGACACGTTAGGCTCGTGTTGTGTTCAAGGACCCTGACCTAACCCAGGAAAAACAGGCACTCTCTTGTTTAATTTTTTTGCGGAATAGATTTCTTAAATTTTTTTCTTTTTTGCGTGTGTTTATAAATTACCTCGAGGGCCGTACCAAATGGTCTCGCGGGCCGTATACGGCCCGGGGGCCGGAAGTTCCCCACCCCTGCTGTAAAGCATTCTCAACATTATCTTCTATTTAACTTTAAATGGGACCATCATTTACAAAATCAACAATGAGCTATATTCAAGAATAATTGGAACTAGTAACTGAGACCATTAACTCATTAAGGAAAATGTTTACTGAGGTAATCATTTAAGTAAGAATCGTGTCGTTTTTTCTTGGACTTCTGTATAATATTTTTGTAACCGGTGGAATGCTTGATATTGAAGATAATGCAATTTTAATAGCACTTCTGCACTGGCATATATTTTCAGAAATGAAAGTTGCTACTTGGAATTTCAAC